CTACCTCACCTACGGGTGACCAACATGCCAGGTCGGGCAACTTAACTCGTATCCTTGCATGTCAGCTGAAGAGCTGCAGACTAGAGTTGCTATTCTCCGAACCCGATGTCCATTCAGCTTTGATCCATTCCCCATCTATTCTCCATCCATCTTCTCGACTATCGCCAGTCTAGATGGCCAATCATCATGTTAGCAACCCTGCAGCCCCCACGGAAGCAACTCCCTTATGCATGAGTGCTTTCGTTAGGTCTTAATCCGGTTACGGCTTTGGGTTGCAAAGCCCACTCCAAACCACCCACTTTATCGTTCTGGGGCCGACCAGCTGCTTTTATACTTGCAGAAGGGCCCTGAGAGTCTTTGTCGTCCCTACATCTGAGACGAGACTTTTTTGCCCTCATCCCAACTGGCCGGGGCTTGCGTCAGCTTGCGTGTGGGTTTCAGATACTTGTAATTTGGCTCCCGCTACCTGCAACGCATATATAGTTATTTTAAGACTTATTTTTAAAGGGAATAAGGGTTGCGGAAAACTAGTACGTGTAGGTGTTTAAACTAGTCATGGACCACTGCGACTACCACCAAACTCTCGCCAGTCTCCCTTTTACCGGTGGAGGAGCGTCCAGACCGGTTGTAGGTGCACGACTCGAGATGGTTTGTGACATGGTGGTGTTTCGTCAGATTAGCCCTGCACATACATGCCAGCTTCCGAGAAAACGACGAGTCAGTTTGGAGCCCTGGAATACACACACATATAGACCGGTAAAGCTCAAGGATGCCAGCATTTCGCCACGACTGGCCGTTGGTTTGAGTACTATGTAGGAATATGCCCTGCTGCCCCCACACCACACAGCTTTATGTCTCTTCGCCGACTTCTCCCCAAGCACCACCGGCCCGGAACCTGGGCTTCGACACCGCCTTGTCGTATTCACTGACTCTCTCCCCTTGCTTTTTTTCTTCTTCTGACTCGAGGTCGCGTTACCATCCTTTCTCCCGCCGCTAGGACGCTCAAGGCGGTTCTCGCTCGGCGTTCAACCCCACACACCGCGCATGACGCAGTAGCTGAATGCACCGTCTTCGAGGATGAGACGATATGTGCGGCCCCGAGGGGAGCCCGGGGGGGCAACGCTTTATATAGATAGCACGATACGGCGCACACATACACATGAGGAACAACGGGGACTGATCAAGTTGGTCTGTAGTTGGTCTGGCATTATGGGAGTGACAAGCTGTAGCCCGCTCGTCCTCTCTATGGGATTTAAAAAGCAATATGTATCAAAGCGTATTAGGTACATAAGCCGAACGGGGCTGCGAGACCCGAGCGGAACCGAATCGAGCCAGGGACAGCAACCGCACATGCATCTCTCCCCTCCCACTCTGCCGCTGAATGGATCAGCGCTACCAAAGTAGGCCGAGACGAAAGAAGAAGAAGGGGACAGAAAAGGGGAAAGGGCACCCTGCAATGGGGTTTGTGGTGGTCCTGGCATACGACCTACCCGTGGTATCGTGTAGTTACAGTAGTAGACCCTGATGGTTGTCGACACACACGCCCCTCCCAAACTCTGGTTCCTCCCCGCACCCTCTGGTTACTTCTGCTTCCTGCTTCTGAAGCTTGTCCAGCCCATCTATATTTCTTTCCTCTTTTACCCATTGTTCTATAGTTGCTCTGTAGGAGTTTTGCTGAAAAAAAAATGCATCTCTGACGGTGGCGGGGATCACCTGCCAGCCTTCATGGCTTCCTTTCTCCGCTTCTTCTCTGCCGCCCGCTGCAAGGAACGCTTGACTTCACCATCCTCGAAACCTTCTAGGTCATAGTACGTCGGAGCAATTTCCTATATTTGATAAGTTAGCATCGACTGGTCTGTGTGGTGTGGAGTGGGGAATAGAGAAAAGCAAGGGTCGGCGTATAGAAAGATGGAAAAAGCAAAGACAAGGAAACTAAGAAAAAGAAACTTCAGGGCTGAGATAGACGGGAATATGGCGGAGATGCTGAAAACAGAAGCGAAAAAAGCAAAGAAAAAGCACAGTGACGAACGGGAGTGGGGTCTGTGCACTCACCAGTAGCCACTCAGGTCGGATGCCGGTGCAGGTCCTGATGTATTGTTTCGAAGTCAAGACGAATTCGTTGTACAGAACCCAATCGAACTCAGCGCGGAGGACGGTGGATGGGTGTATTAGGACAGCTTGGTGATCCTTGACTGTGCGGTACACCTTGCCGGAGGATTCCTTCATGCCAACTTGCATGAAGAAGCCGGCCAGCAGGGCTCGCCGGATGTTGGTGTAGTAGTTCTTGTCCTCGAACGGGGTTGACAAAAGATCCAAACTGTGCGTCTCCATGATCCGCTTTAACTGGGCACGAACGTTATCTGCACTCGACAAGTGCCGGAAAGACAAGAAGTGTTCGTGGCACCACTGCTTGAGCATGTTTGAATCCGAACCTTGACCTCTGAACGCATGGTACGCGTTGAGAAGGGTCAAATGATCGCCGTCTGGGTGGCTGAAGTGGGCCTTCATCTCATCTGCCCTCTTTCGGTTGTTGGCGGGCCGCACCCAGATCTGAGGGACAGAGAGGAGCGAGGTGATTGATAGGATCTCATTGGAGCAATAGAACTCAGGAGACGAAATAAGCATGACGGCCAGAGCAGGATCCAGCGGGAACTCCGAAGCCAACCCACCGAGGGTAGTCAGCTCGCCGTCATCGTCAAGACAGGCGAGATAGTTGAGCTCCTCAAGTGCCCGCATCATGGTCTCGGGCGCTGGGGGGTCCATGAGATCAAAATGGACGAGGTCCTCCACGCCCAGTTTCTTGAGCTCAAGCACGGTATTGGCCAGGTTGGACCGGAGAATCTCTGGGTAGGTCTGCTCGATCAGTTCCTTCTTGAAGGCCTTCTCGGTGTATAGTCTGAAGCACTTTCCAGGTTTCGTACGACCAGCACGACCGGCTCTCTGCTGGGCCGAAGCCTTGGAGATGGGTGATACCAAAAGCGACTCGACACGGATACGCGGATTGTAGATCTTTTGCTTGCTGAAACCAGGATCCACCACGTAGACAATACCATCAATGGTCAAACTAGTTTCGGCAATGTTTGTGGAGATGATGCATTTCCTTCCCACTCGTCCGCCCTTCCTAAGAGCAGGAGGGGCCTTGTCGAAGATGCGCTGTTGCTGTTGAGGGGGGAGACTGCCATACAGAGGGTATACGGCAAGCGGGCCAGCGTCAACCTCACGCGTCAGCTCTTCGGCCTCAAGACTGATTTTTCTGCAAGCGTCTTCAATTTCGTCCTCTCCAGTAAGGAACAGCAGGATATCGCCATCGGGTTCTGAGGCATGGATCTGAAGGACGGTACGGATGGCTGCCTCCACGTAGTCTCGTTCCGGTTCAGGAGTATAGAAGATCTCAACTGGGTGGGTTCGTCCGGGGACCGCAAGGAGAGGCGCATCGTTGAAGTATCTCTGGAACTTTTGTGCGTCGAGGGTAGCGGACATGATGATGATTTTGAGATCGGATCGGCGGCTGGCAATTTGCTTGAGCAATGCCATGAGAATATCGGTGGCAAGAGTTCTCTCGTGAGCCTCATCGAGAATGATGCAGCTGTAGCGCGACATGTCGTGATCGTGCATGGCTTCGCGCAGAAGCATACCGTCTGTCATGTATTTGAGCATCGTTTTGGGACCAGTCTTGTCCTCGAAACGAATGCTGTAACCCACTTCCTCGCCAAGCTTCACATCCATCTCGTCTGCGACACGCTGCGCTACTGACATGGCAGCCACTCGGCGGGGCTGGGTACACGCGATGAGTTTGCCGGTGATATTTGGCAGTTCATCGAAGACGACATATTGGGGAATCTGTGTCGTTTTTCCGGAACCAGTCTCACCAACGAAGACGAGGATCTGAGTCGAATGGTATTTATCAAGGAACTCTTGTCTGCGAAACCAGTCAGAAAAAATCGCAAAAACGAGATAGGCAAGGTCATAAGGCTGATGAGGCTGACCACATACCTTTGTTTGTGTACCGGCAGCTCTCTTCGTGTCTGGAGAATTTGAAAGTATTTCTGCGTGTGCTCAACGCCCGTGAATGCGTTTGCGCTGAGATCTTCTACCTTGGAGATTTGCTCGGCCGTGACTTGTCTCCGTGTCATGCCAGAGAAAGGCGAGTCTGGGGAAGGGTCCATATGGGCGAGATATGGGTTGTATACATCACCGTCGCTGTCCCCCTTCTTGGCTTTCTTCCTTGATGATTCGTCGGATTCGGCGCTGGTGCGTTTTCCTGCCATGTCTGACATGATTGCCTCGCTGGACAGTCCGAATTGCGACAACACGGGGCGAAAACTGCTGGGTTGGTAAAGATGATTAGGCGGGAAGGCGGGATTGTTGACTTTCCAGAAAATTTTGGCCAAGGACAGACTTGCGACGGCTTATCGATAAGCGCAATCAGGAGGGTCACAGTGCGAGTTGCGAACTTGGCACTAGGGCCTGTAACGATGAGATATTCGTTATCAAGTATTGCCACTGAAAGTGATGTTCATTTCACTCTTTCAAGTCTTTAGGCTTTGGGATTTGGCACAAATCTGCCCCAGCATGCATAGCATGATACGAAGTGAACCTGCGGCCTTCGGCGCTCGATCATCACTAGCTCTTGATCAGCACTGTGCGGCTCTGCCGTTGAGCACTTTCACACTCGCCCAGAGGAGAAAATATGAGAGCAACAACAACAAAATACCTACATGCATACGTACTAGGTTGAGCTGTTCCACGGATTCCAACTCTGACCGTCGCGCTCCCGCACTGAAGAGGATTCGGAATTGGATCATTCCTCGCTCTCTTTTGGGGTCTGTGCTTTCTTGTCTTCCTCACTTTCATTCGCTGTTCCTCTCACATTTGCTACCTAGAATATGATTGATCCTTGAAAGGGTATTGAGTATTCATAACGTACGGCGAATTTCTGTTAGAAATCACTTGCAGTTTGAAGAGAAAGTAGAACTGAAAGAGCAGGAGCATCAGAAGAAATGGCGCCTGGAGAGTCGGATGTCTTTATTCCTGGGGAATTTGCCCCTCACCGGCCAATTTTTCATATCGGCTACCACAATTCGGAGAGAAATGCGCCCCCCACTGATATCCAGTACGGCAATCTGCTCAATCAGGGTGTAAGTTCGCGTGAAGAAAGATTAGCTATGAACGATTGGCTTGACTAACACGGTTTACTTCCTGCCTTAGTTCAACTTTGTGACGACCCCTCTGACCAATGACCATTTCCGTGAGAGAGTGTTCCGTCTCGTTCAAGACCATCTCGCTATACTCAAGGACTCCGGAGATGATGGGTCAAGCAATTTCACAACTCCAGGGGCAGATCCTATTCTGCCTCCCCTCACACCCCAGGATACCAGCGTCTTCCCCAGTGCTGCAGTCAACACTTATACAGGCTACATCAGCCCCTGGATCGACCCGTGCTCACCGAACCGGATCATCTCCAGCATCTCTCGCCAGGTTTTGAACCTTGAGATCAACTACGCCAACTTTTGTGGAATCCGAAGCTTGATTCTTCCGGGCCCGACAAGAGATGCGTCAAAGGATGGTGGTATACAAGGCCTAGCGCAGTACTCTCGGGCTGTTCAGGAAGCTCTAACTATTGGCAGCCGACTCACCTTCTTGGTTCACATGCCCATGTATCGCGAACCACTCGCAGGCCTAGAAGTCCGTACACTATCGTCGGTTTTGGGGGCAACCCCGCCTCGGGAAGCCGGCAAGGAGATTGATCTCTATACCGCCTGGGATTCCTGGAACCACATTCGTAGTGTTTGCGATTATGACATGCGGCTCTTTGTGGGTATGGAAATCTCCTAAAACCCCTTTCAACTTTCTTAGGTCTAACATATGACATAGCACTACGCATTCCCAAGGTCATGCCCGAGATGGCTCTTCAAAACCGCTGGTTTGCTGAACCTTTGCACTATCTGACCATCGGACCTGAATCGTTCCAATTCAACAAACCTGGGTATCCGAGCTTGTCGAAACATCACCAGAACATGATTTTCACTTACATGAGACTCAAGAACACGCCATGGCTACTACTTTCTGACCTGGGCTCTGATGGTCAAGGAACGTCTGAACAGCCAGATACCAAGTCCCATGACCAGTTCCCAAGCCTCGCTGAGGCTGGCGACAAGGTTGTTAAGCGTTCTGCGTCTACAAATGATTACCTATCATATGTAAGATGGCTTGAAATGCAGCAAACCCCACTTCCGGCGCTCGAGTCAAACACATTGACTAGCTTCCAAGACTGGCTACAATCACCATTGCAGCCCCTAGCCGACAATCTAGAGTCCGCAACTTATGAGGTTTTTGAGGGTGACCCTGTAAAATACAACCAGTACGAAGCCGCGTGTATCGAAGCTTTGTCAGAGTGGAAGGAACTTGGAAAGCCGACATCCAAGGAAGGAGTTGTGGTTATCGCTGTGGCTGGTTCCGGGCGAGGGCCACTGGTAACCCGCGCCCTGACAGCTGCTGAGTTTACGGGAGTCCCCGTGGAAGTCTGGGCCGTGGAGAAGAACCCGAATGCCTATGTCTACCTTCTACGCCAAAATGAAGCCATCTGGGGCGGGCGGGTGAAAGTTGTCAAGACGGACATGCGAGCTTGGAAAGGCCCTGTCCTCTCAGAGTCTCCGGAGACCGGGCCAGTCTACGGAAAGGTCGATATTCTTATTTCGGAGCTTTTGGGTTCCTTTGCCGACAACGAGCTGTCTCCCGAATGCCTGGATGGAATCCAGCATGTGATGGCTAAGCCTCATGGCATTTCTATCCCTAGCTCATACACCGCTCACCTGAGCCCAATTGCGACACCTAAACTCTATGCTGACATCTTGTCTCGATACCCCACCGAGTCTACAGCATTCGATACGCCTTGGGTTGTCCGACTTTTCGCCATCGACTTTGTCTCCCAGAGAGTCCCGGGGCACGAGCAAATCCAACAAGCGTGGGAGTTCGTACACCCTATCCCGGAGTCAACTTTGAAGGGGATTGAGGCAAGACGATCTGGTGGGGTCGTTGGCGGGGGCGGTGGCAGTATGGCTGGCGCAGCGGGAGCCAACGACCATAACTCACGATTCTGCCACCTCACCTTTGTCTGCCGCACCCGTGGCGTAGTGCATGGGCTGGCAGGTTACTTTGAGTCCACCTTATATGAATCTCAACTAGCGTCTGCCAAGGGGCAGAAGGTTGAGATCAGTACACACCCTGAGCGAATCGATGACAAGAGCAAGGACATGATTTCATGGTTCCCTATTTTCTTCCCACTGAAGGTAAGAAGTGACAATCGGCCCCGTTCCCGAGTCTTGAACAGGAAATGAGGATGCATAAGCTAACAAAAGGGTTTCTAGCAACCTCTTTATTTCCCAGCCGATTCGGAACTTGAAGTAAGCATGTGGAGACAGACGGATGATACAAAAGTGTGGTACGAATGGCTTGTGGAAGCCTGGATGTGGGTTGGGGAATCAAACCGAATTAAGGTTGGCTCGTCGGCCCTGTGCACCAGTCGCAAAGTTGCATGCTTGATGTAGACGAACGCACGGTATATTAGACGTTAGATATCACTCTGGAGGTCAATACAATACCACGGCGGATCTCATACCGAAGCACGCGGAGCCGTACCGGAGGCTCGGCAGCTCTGACCAGGGATGGCCATGGTATTGATCTCGGTACAAAGCCGAGCGAGACAAATGTTTCCATGCATGCTTGTTTATCCACATGGCACACGCATGTAATGCATATATTGGCCAATGATGGTATCTGATCATGTCCTTGCCTTTGAGGTCAGTATAGAGCGTACTACGAAGTGAAAGACTACAGAAACGGGATTCGTGAAACCCCGCCAAAAGATGCAATGCGAATGACAGGACCCCGGCTTGGATGTTTGGGGTCTGCCTCCGATATCGTTGACCCAGGCCCACTCACCCAGGGGTCAAGCGACTCAGTCCAGCCGTTCCCAGTCAGAGCACTCTGGGCACGGAAGTTTTGCGATTTCCTGGAGCAGAAATCGGCCGGGTCGACTTGCCTATTCCTTCTCCATCGCAGTCTGGGACAGCTTATTATTAATAGGAACCTGGTGATTGTCGGTGAAAAAAACAGCAAGCAAATTGCTTGATATCCACTCTGGCTTCCACAAGAACGGTAGACCTCCCGCCCTTCGCGTTCCAGCAGCCTCGCAGCGCACATGCATTGCTTCGTCCTCGGTACAGCCGGGCGGAGGGTAGCTGTTAATCGCGTTGTGCAGCGCCTATCCCCCCATTCGCTCGGATCTTGGTCCGCTGGTGCGACGGCACTCCGTCTCTCCAGATCGGCATCCTTAAAGGCAATGCCCCGCCATCCAGCTCCCAACGACCCCTCCATCACCAACTCTCCATCCTCTTCATCTTCAGTCGGCAGCAACAGGATTTCTCAAGTCGCCCGGCACCTCAGCTCTTCTGCAACCTCCCCCAAAGGCCAATCGACACCACCCACAATGTCTTCCCAGCCTCCCCACCCGGCCCTGCTCATCCCCGGGCCAATTGAGTTCGATGACGCTGTTCTCCAGTCCATGAGCCACTACAGGTACGTCGGATAGTAGCCGAGTCTGGCGTAGGCACCACTGCAGCCATATCAACACACTGCCATTGGTCCCCCACCGTGAGTATGTTTCACTGACCTTGCTCGTGGATTAGTGAGAGCCACGTCGGCCCAGGCTTTGTCGCGACCTTCGGAGAGACATTGACTCAGCTGCGTCAGTTGTTCCAATCCACCGACTCTGCCGCTCAACCCTTTATCATCTCCGGCTCAGGCACCTTGGGCTGGGATCTCGTCGCTGCCAACCTTGTCGAGGCTGGCGAGAGCGCTCTTGTCCTGAGCACAGGCTATTTCGGCGATGGATTCGCCGACTGCCTTCGAACATACGGCGCAGACGTTACCAAGATCGATGGCCCTGTCGGAGGACGCCCTTCATTAGAAGAGGTTGAGGCCGCTCTTTCAAAGAAGAAGTACAAGATCCTGACTGTTACGCACGTCGACACCTCCACTGGCGTTCTCAGTGAGCTCAAGAACCTCACTGCAACCGTCAAGCGAGTCTCCCCCGAGACCCTGGTCATTGTCGATGGAGTGTGCAGTGTAGCGTGCGAGGAGATCGCATTCGACGCCTGGGGCCTGGATGGTGTTGTCACAGCCAGTCAAAAGGCTATCGGCTGCCCCGCCGGTCTGTCTATCTCCTTCTTCAGCGCAAAGGCCATCGAGGCCTTCAACAGCCGCAAAACCCCTCCTGCCTCTTACTTTGCTTCTTTCAAGAACTGGGCACCAAGTAAGTTTTGGATCCCCTTGGCTCTGATTATTTTGCGCTTTGAACACTAACGGTATTACGTGCAGTCATGAAGAACTACGAGGCTAAGAAGCCATCCTACTTCGCCACGCCCTCGCCCCAGCTCATCCACGCCCTCAACACCGCACTGTCACAGATCTTGACCAGGCCGTTGGCCGAGCGTTTCCAAAAGCATGCCGAGGTTTCGGATCGAGTCAAGAAGGCTGTCAAGGATCTCGGTCTCGAGGTCGTGGCTACCAGGCCCGAGGACCAGGCTCACGCCATGACAGCTATTTACCTGCCCGAGAATGTGACGATCCCCGACATTCTGCCGAAGCTGTCCACAAAGGGCGTCATCTTTGCAGGTGGTATTCACAAGGCTATTGCTACCAAGTACATCCGCTTTGGGCACATGGGTGTCAGCGCCCTGGACCCGAACCGCAAGGACATCGACCTGGCGCTCGAGGCGCTGCGATCGGGCCTGTCAGAGTGTGGATATCAGAAGGCATAATTACTAGATAAAGAAAAAAATGCCCAAAAACCAAAAGGAGAGTAAATATAATACTAGATAGCTAGAAACAGGATATGGAATAGATACTATCTGAACTCCCCAAATAGGTACCTCACATAGAAGGCCTTTTTCATGGCTACACTGCCTAGACGCCCAACCTTTGAGCATGGTGACTCGTGCCCCTTGTGCCCTCCCAAGCACCGCGTAGTCCTTGCCGGGGGAGGGATAATGACAATAGCTGCTAGCCTCGGATTCTTAGACCTTTATCTTAGCTACAAGAAAGCCGAAGCTTGTGGTCCTCCTCTCTCAAGCCGGCGCAACCCCCGCCACAACATGTAGATATCCATGAACTAATTGCCATGAATGGCCCAGGCTGGCAATAGCCGCCCGCAGAAATAAGCGCGTCGGTTTTCGTAGAGATAATTCCAAGGTAACACCACATTCGAGGTCAAGGTGGGGTTGGGTCCAGACGGGGAGGCTGGCAGCTGGCCCAGCTCAGACGTGCCGCATCACAAGTACCGGTACTGAGACGACGGCGTCATGGCTGCCCGTTTGGGTCGGGTCCCCTGGGGACTGACAGGCACTCCCGCTCACAGCGGTTGGCTCTAGCGGCCTGGCAGCCGTGCCCCAAGCCCAGCACAAGTACAGTGACCTCTAGTGCTAGGCCGTAGCTGACAAAACCAGCACCGCGGCCCCAGCGCCCATTCGCTCCATAGCACCTTGCACTGCTTAAGCATTTGCTTCCCTCCACCCCAACTCTTCTTCCGATCTCAGCCTTTTCGACCTCTCCCAGCCTTTGCTCTCTGCCCAGATTTCCGTTTCTCCCTTTCACCCCCTCCCCTCGCGCCCGACGAGGTTCCTCATCCTGCGACGCGCCGCACAGCTTCTTCTAGTCAAGCCTTTACGTGCGTTGCGTCGTCTAAAGCTTGCTGCCGACCGAGCAATCGTCATTCTAATCTCTGTGCCTTCACCCCACTTTGGTTGCCATAACCACCCGCCCCGTTTTGAGCCATGGCTCCCACCATCGAAGAGCTCGACACGACCGTCCGGGCCTTTTACGAAGGCAGGGGAGAACAAGTATGGCTTCTACTGTTGTCTCTATTTTTGCTTAAACTGATATTTCTTTGCTATAGCAAAAAGCCGCCCAGAATGCGCTGAACCAGGTGGGCAACCCCACTTCCAATAGCTACGCCGCCAAGCGTGAAGAGGAGGGACAACGACCGAGAGGGCGAACATGATAGAACAGGGTGTCACGACGGAAGAACACGAATGGCAGCGTAGATGTCTCGAGGATGGTTTTTGCTGACTTTTTGGTATAGTTCAAAGAGGACCCTGACGCCTGGTTAATGGTGGACAAGATCCTCTCAAGCGCACAGTATCCCCAAACAAAGTGTATGCTTCTACAAGGTTCCCCCGCCCTCCGTGCTCAGCTCGGTAGCTAACATGGTCACAGACTTGGGTCTTCAGGTTCTCGACAATGTCATCTTGACGAGATGGAAGGTTCTGCCACGAGACCAATGCCAAGGTTCGTTGCAGAAGCTTGTCTCCCGCTTTCCAGACCGACTACTAACCCCGCGGCCCGCAGGTATTCGTAACTTCATTGTGCAGTTCATCATTCAATCGTCGAGCACCGAAGAGTCTTTGAAGACGAACAAGACTCTCCTGAACAAGCTGAATCTTGTTCTCATTTCCGTCTTGAAGCAGGAATGGCCCCATAACTGGCCTACATTCATAAACGAAATCATCTCTTCCTGCCACTCCAACCTCTCCATCTGCGAAAACAACATGATTATCTTGCGATTATTGTCCGAGGAGGTTTTCGATTACTCGGCTGAGCAGATGACATCGGCCAAAACGAGGAGCCTCAAGCAGACCATGTGCGCTGAGTTTTCGCAAATTTTCCAGCTTTGCCAGGAGGTACTCAACACTGCTACCCAGCCCAGTCTCATCAACGCCACTCTAGAGACCTTACTGCGCTTTTGCAACTGGATTCCTCTCGGCTATATCTTCGAGACCCCTCTGATCGATACCCTGCGCACACGTTTCCTATCGGTCCCCGAGTTCAGGAACATCACCCTGCAGTGCTTGACAGAAATCGGAGGTCTACAGACCGGAGGACCTGGCCAGCCCAACTCCTATGAGGAGCAGCTTGTCAAAATGTTCACCGAGGTTCTTACAACGATTGCGGAGATCATTCCAGTCTCTCTCGACCTGAAGTCGACCTACCCCAGCAGTAACTCGAAGGATCAAGAATTCATCCAGAACCTGGCACTCTTTCTCTGCAACTTTTTTGGAATGCACCTTCACGTAAGTTGAGCCTTTTCTTCTTTTAAACTCCCCAGCTCGATTTGGATTTTGTCGATGAGATGGGAAACTAACCAAGTGCAGCTTATCGAAAACCTGCCAAATAGAGATTTCCTCATGCATGGCCACTACTACTTGATCCGGATATCCCAAATCGACGACCGCGAAATTTTCAAGATCACCCTCGATTACTGGCTCAAGATGGTCCAAGAGCTGTATGAGGAGATGCAGTCTCTTCCATTGACCGACGTAAACCCATTGATGGGTGTTACCGGCAACATGTCTGGCAGTGGAGCCCCGAATCCCAACACCTTAATGAACTACCCTCTCCGAAAACACAAGTACAACGAGATCCTCACAAATCTACGAGTCGTCATGATTGAGAAGATGGTCCGTCCTGAGGAAGTTCTGATTGTGGAGAACGATGAGGGTGAGATTGTCCGAGAGTTTGTCAAGGAAAGCGACACTGTTCAGCTGTATAAAACTATCCGAGAGTGTCTTGTCTATCTCACGCATCTTGATGTTGTTGACACAGAGAACATCATGACGGAGAAGCTAGCGCGACAGGTGGATGGCTCAGAGTGGTCGTGGCATAACTGCAACGTTCTCTGCTGGGCCATTGGCTCCATTTCCCTCTCCATGAACGAAGAGACTGAGAAGAGATTCTTGGTGACCGTTATCAAGGATCTCCTGGGTCTTACCGAAATGAAGCGCGGCAAGGACAACAAAGCTGTGGTTGCAAGCAACATCATGTACATCGTGGGGCAATATCCCCGCTTCTTGAAGGCACACTGGAAATTCCTTAAGACTGTGGTCAATAAGCTGTTTGAATTCATGCACGAATCTCACGAAGGTAATGACAACCCCCCCCCCCCCCCCCCCCAAAACGGACAAGACACGGAAATAGCAACGACGGATGGCTAACCGAGACAAACAGGTGTCCAAGACATGGCTTGCGATACATTTATCAAGATCGCTCGACAGTGCCGTCGCCATTTCGTGGCGCTTCAGCCTAGCGAACAAGAACCCTTTATTGAGGAGATTGTGAGGAACATGGGTAAGATTACATGTGACCTCACCCCTCAACAAGTCCATACATTCTATGAGGCATGCGGTTACATGGTTGCAGCCCAAGGCAATCAACATCAGCAGGAGAGGCTACTGGCCGATTTAATGAATATCCCCAACACCGCATGGGATGAGATTATCAAGCAGGCCACTATGAACCCTTCAATCCTTCAAGACTCTGAGACGATCAAGGTCATTGGCAACATCATGAAGACGAACGTGTCCGCCTGCTCATCGATCGGTCCTTACTTCTACCCTCAGATCGGGCGCATTTATCACGATATGCTTCAGATGTACCGTGCTACCAGTGGCCTCATCTCGGAAGCTGTGGCCAGGGATGGCGACTTGGCCCCCAAGATGCCCAAGGTCCGAGGACTGCGAACCATCAAGAAGGAAATCCTCAAGCTTATTGAAACATACGTGGACAAAGCCGAAGATTTGCAAGCCGTTGCTAACCAGATGGTTCCTCCCTTACTGGAATCGGTGTTGGTTGATTACAACCGCAATGTGCCAGGAGCTCGCGATGCCGAAGTTCTCAAGGCCATGTCCACTATCATCACAAAGCTGGGTGTAAGGTTCCCCAGTTCAATCATTTTTCCAGGAAACATGCTGACATGCTATACAGCCTTTGATGGAGGACCAGGTCCCTATCATCATGCAAAATGTGTTTGAATGCACACTGGAGATGATCAACAAAGACTTCTCGGAATTCCCCGAGCACCGTGTTGAGTTTTTCAATCTCCTCCGAGCCATTAATCTTTACTGCTTCCCTGGTACGTCATCATACGAGATATCTCCTTGAATGTTTCAACAACGCACCCAATGCTGACTGGCCGTGACATTAGCTCTTCTGAAACTTGATAACAATCAGTTCAAGTTTGTTATTGACTCTTGCTCCTGGGCTTTCAAGCACGACAACCGTGATGTCGAGGCCGCTGGACTGAATATGTGCCTGGAGCTCATCAACAACATCGCAGAGAAGACGGATGTTGCAACAGCAAACGCCTTCTTCCAGCGATTCTTTGTCAACATTCTCCAAGACGTGTTCTTCGTTGTCACCGATCCAGACCACAAGGCTGGTTTTAAGACGCAGTCGATGGTTTTGATGAAGCTGTTCTACTTTGTCCATCCTGCTGATGGCACAAGCCCCAAGATCCAGGGGCCTATTTACAACGCGGAGCAAGCCCCTGGTGGAACAAGCAACCGTGATTTCCTGAGCAGTTTTGTCGTGAATCTATTGCGAAATGCATTCCCCAACCTCCAACAGTGAGTCTTGCGAAAAAATGCAACATTCAAGACGCAACCTTAGCTAACAAGAACCCAGGGCCCAAATCGCTAACTTCGTGGAGGGACTGTTTACGCACAACACCCAGTATGACAAGTTCCGCCTGAACCTGCGAGACTTCCTCATCTCCCTCAAGGAGTTTGCCGACGACAACGCGGAGCTATTCGCGGTTGAGAAGGAACAAGCCGAGCGGGACACAAAGGCGGCTGATATGGAGCGACGACAAAAGGTCGGTGGACTGCTGAAGCCGTCCGAGCTGGATGACGAAGAGCTGTGACTGAAAGAGGAACTGCGAAACGAGTTCGCACCCAAGCAGGAGTGGGAACATGGACCGAACACAAATAGCGAAGCTGAAGAGATCAGCGGTGATGGGTGGGAGTTTTATGGACTATAGGCTCAGGTCCGACGCCGGCGTTTGAGAAGAAGATGCGAGGGTCTCGATTTCCTTGTAATGTAGTGATACCCAGCTAAAAGGAAGATTTTCTTGCATGGACTCAAGAGATCTCCACACAGCGGGCTATGAACAGAAGGGCCAGAGCCAGAGCCAGAGCCAGAGACGAGGAGCAGCATTACCTCTACCTGTCTTCAAATTTACTTGGTTGCCTAGGAACGGTAACACCGAATACCACAGCCGGGCGGGAGTACCGACGAGCTCAGCCTGGAGCTCGGCAAGACGTTGCACAGTGCCTTAGACAACCAGAAAAGGATAAAATTAAACAGAACGGAAGAAACAGCAACTAGGGCTGAGATTGATGAATGAGGAAGAGAAGAAGAAAAAGGGGTGACGAGACACGAGGTTCGCGGTTGTTTTCGATACACCAAGAGCTGAAGGAGATAGAAAACAGAGAGACAGAGAGGTGGTGGTTGGCACAGACATTGTGTAGAAAGAACTATTCAAGTTTAGCAGGTTTCATTCCAATGTCAAACGTACTCCCTTCTGCCAGATGAGGATGCTGCTGTGATGGAGTGTGATTGCAGGGATATGTGGGAGTGGTGCATTGCGTTGTGTAACGGCGGGTGGAGAGCGAATCTCGAGTGCAAGCCAGGCGATTATCCCCAGGCACTTGATCTGCAGCTTAAATTGACCGTAGGGATGAGTGCAGGCTCGTCTCGTACTAATCTGCTTGTCTGGGTCAAGGGGGAATTCAGAGAGAGAGGAGAAATGAGAAAACGCAGCACCAGAAAAGTCAGCCTCAGACAGGGTTGTTGTATTATTGTCTTATTGCTGCTGCCAGTTGTGGTTGGTGTTCTAGCGCTGATGTGGTAAGTAATTATGGTAGGTGAGATCAGAAAACGTGAGCGGGCATTGACCTCCCTTGGTAACAATAAGTAAGGCTGCCTCGCATCGCCTCTCGGCCTCAGCACCCGCACCCGCGTGCTCAAATCATCTCTATCCAAACTAATTACCTGATCATCTATCCTCACACCGGGCTCCTCTCGCCTGGGCTTGCGGTACCCCCTTCCACGGCTCTGTCGCTTGATGCTCCACTGGACCAGGAAAATACTGCACCCCGGCAACGAAGGCAATGTGACAGGGGGGAACGGGCCTCGGCCAGACAGTTGACACTCAGAAAAAAAGACCAGCTCTATTCCAACATCTCCAGTAGAGATCGGATAGAGGGGCCGTTCCAAGATGGCAGAGCGAGACTCTGGAGGGGGGACGCCTGATGGGGGAGACAAGTCAACGCCAAAGTCGGGCGGCAGTAGCACCACGAAACAACGGCGCTCCCACCGAAAGTCGCGTAATGGATGCGCTGAATGCAAAAGGAGACATATGCGCTGCGATGAAGCTCGCCCAGCCTGTAGAAACTGCTCCATGGCCGAGCGAGCATGCTCCTATCCCGCTCCCGCCAGATCAGGGCCGTCTCCAGTGCCTGTCCCAGAGAAGCGGCCTCAGCCTCCTCTCCCCCCTCAGCAGATGCGTCCACCGGCGCAATGGCCGCCCCAGTCTCTGCCGTCCTTCAACGAGTCCTTTGCCGATACGCCCACCTCTCCCTCCATCCCCGTCTCTGCCTTTACACCCCAGCACCTGATGCTTCTCCATCACGTCGAAACGTCCATGGAGAACGAGGTGCTGGGCGATGGCCAGACAACACGCGTCGTCGACATCTCCATACGCCATACCGTGGAGTGCCCCTATCTGATTGACCAACTTCTCGCGTTTGCGGCCATACACAAGGCCCATCAGCAACCAGGGTCAGCAGCCAAGTACCGGCACCAGGCGACCGAGCTCCAAACGAGAGCCCTGGCCTACTTCACCAAGGACACTGAGAGTCGTTCTTCCGACGACATGCTGTATGCTGCACCGCGGTTTCTCTTCGCCGCACTGCTTGGTTTGCACGTATTGGCCGAGACCTTGGCGTACAACCGCTCAGACTTCCAGGAGTTCATAGACCGCTTCATTGATTGCATCCATCTCCACAAGGGGATTCGTACGGTGATTCTGCCCACGTGGGAAATGCTTCTTCAATCGGAGCTGCTGCCAATCCTGAGTCTCACAACCCTTCAATATCCCCAGGAGCCTTGCCACGGGAAAGAGTGCGAGCCCTTGAGAGCACTCCTCGATGCCTCGGATCTAGATACCCAGAGCATCGACGCCTGTCAGAGGGCGGTGCAGACTCTGCAGTGGGCATTCGATCTCAGTGGGAGGCTGCCCCGTCCCGACCTACCCCACGCCGTCACTGGCTTCAGTGTAGTGGTATCCGTCGAGTTTGGCGACGTTCTGAGGAGGCACAGAGCAGAGGCTCTCATCATTCTAGCTTATTATGGCGTTCTAGTGCACCGAGCGAGGAAGTATTGGATGTTCGGCGACACAGGCGTCTTCTTGATCCGGGATATCAACAAGCGACTGGGCACCTACTGGCAGGAGCCTATGAAGTGGCCACTCCAGGTACTCGAAGAGGAACATGACTGATCCGGCATTCATAACCGAGCACATATACGACAGCGAAATAATCATTCCAGGGAAATTTTCTTTTTTTTGTTCAAGTATAATATAGGTCTATTACAAACGGAGCTGGGCATATACATTTCGTCATATTGGATACAAATGAGATGAAAAAAAAAAGAGAATGACTGCCGACCTCCAACCTCGCACACCTTGTCTACATCAACGCCGCTCCTAGAACCGGTGAATCTGATCCTTTCGGTATCCGAGCTCTGCCAGGATCCCCAGCGGCGACCCCCACTTGAACTGTCCGGCGAGGGCCGTCTCCATGGCGGGCGGTCCGCACAGGTACACGTGCGAGCTCCCCGACGCGGGAGCGACCTCCTGCAGCAGCTCCTTGGTCACGCGGCCCTTCCTGTAGGGGCTGTTGTCGCCCGGCCGGCTGATGGTGTAGACGGCCCTGAAGCGGCCGGGGAACTCCCTCTCGAAGGCGTCGAGCTCCTTCTTCAGGAGCACGTCCCGGTCGGTGTTGGCGCCGTACACGAGCGTGATGGCGGTCCTGTCGTCCGGGTTGCGGAGGATCCCCTGCGCCAGCTGGAAGACGGGCGTGATGCCCGCGCCGCCGGCGATGAGGGTGACGTGGGTGCCGGCGTCGGCGCTGGGCGTCCACTTGGGGCCGGGGATGGGGAGGGCGAAGAGGAGCCTGTCGCCGGGGCTGAGGGAGTGCAGGTGGGTGCTGGCCCTGCCGTTGGGGTACTGCTTGACGACGAGGTCGAGGTGGCCGGGGTCGTCCGAGGGTGTGACGGGTGTGTAGGGGCGGGGGACGGGGCGCCAGCTGCCCTTGGGCCACGATACCGTCAGGACGGCGGCTGTTCCACCAGATTAGCCCGGTTCTTTCACATCTTGGGTATTGCTTGGTTTTGGTTATTAGACTGGAGGGAGACTTACAAGTCAGAGGGAGGCCGCTCACATCCTCCTCCTTGGGCAGCTTGAAGCGGAGGCGCTTCGTGTCGCCGCTCACCATCTCGGAGCTCTCGAGGGGGAGGGAGAGGAAGGCCGGGCCGCCGCCGAGGACCTTCTTCGGCTTTGGCCCCGAGTCCGCGTGTACCTTTCTAATGAAGAACTTGGAGTATATGCCGGTGGCGATGCCGCCCGCCAGGACCGTTGTGAGGACCGTGACCGGCCGGACGCGAGGTAATAGGGATGAAGACATTGTGGTAATCTGTGGTGGATGGTACGGCGTGATTTTGGATCAATAATGAGTGAAATATCTGGTAAATGGAAGGAGATGCCTTATAATAAATAGCCACCTTTATAAGGACACCAGAAAAGATGATTGTTGGGTTAGAAGTGAGTACCGGTATGTGCTGTGCTATACGTGCTATGCAATTCGAGGGGGAGCGTGAGAGAACCTTTGCTTGAAATTGTTGAATTGAAATACATGGCATAACTTAGCTCTCCCTCCGAGCTGAGATCGCCGCATTATATATTTCTTCCTTCTCATCTGGAGCTGACGGGCGGTGATCTCGGTCAAGTTGAGATTGTCCGGAACCGACCCGGCCGCTGCGTCCCACCGATTTATTTGCCGATGGCCGACTGGAACCCCTGTTTCGCACATTCTAACCAACGAGAAGGCTGTCCCACCCGGACTTTTTCAGCGTGCTCACTGCTGCCAGTATTCCCCGATTCTGTTCTATTCTCGTTGGACCCAAGGATTCGGGATATTCCGCTCCTCGAGGTGTTCGTGTCACGCCATTCATTCATTCTCTCCGCGATAATCACTTGGTACAATTATATCGGTGTTTTCAGTCAGTCTTGTGTTGTATATATATTTTCTGTAATATTATTTGGTGCATGCACCTGGTAGCTAATCGTCGAAGCCCTCAAACTCATCGTCTTTAGCGGCGGGTTTGGCAGCGTTCTGCATCCTGACCTGGCGGATCAAATCATTCAACTCGGCCTGTTTCACCTTCTCGTCGTCCGTCATAGTCGCCGTCTTCTCGGCCTCGCGCCTCTTGCGCCGCTTCTCCCGCCGCTCCACCCGCACATCCTCCTGGTCGTGCTTGTTGCTCCACGCCTCGTTCGCCTTCATCTTCCGCTTCCGCTTGCCGGCCTCCTCGTCCCGGGCGAGCTTGGCCGCGCCCGAGCGCTCTGCCTCGAGAGCCTCCTGCCGTGCGCTCTCCCGTGATTTCTCTAGGTATGCGAAGTTGTCCCAGTCCACCTCGACTCCGAGGAACTTGTCACCCTGCCACGCCTTGAGCTCCGGCATCTTGGGCATCCGGAGGAGACCCCACCCCTGGCCCAGGTCCGCCCAGTCAAGCGCGCTCGTCCGGAAGATGGATGTGGCCTGGTGGCCGCCGTAGCTGCGTACCCAGCTGACGAACGCGCGCTGCGCTTTGTCGTGGAGTGCGCGATCAGCGCGCAGCAAGCCCCGGATCTTCTCCGTGGCTTGTTCTGCATCCTCCTGCGTAGTTGAGACCTCTGGTTTTTCTAGTAGTGCGATTGGTGTCTTGCGGATCTCGAGGAATCGAACGTAGTCCTCCTCGGGGCCGGGATGGAGCATGAGGACGGCCAAGCCCTTGCGACCCGCGCGTCCTGCTCTGCCGCTCCGGTGGATGAAGACTTTTGGGTCTGACGGCGCGTCGATCTGAACGACCAGATCAACCTGGGGGATATCCAGGCCACGGGCGGCCAAGTCCGTGGTGAGGAGCACCGTAGGAGATACCGCGGTGAGGAAGCGGTTGAAATTCTTCTCTCGTACTTTGGGCTGGTGCTTCCCGTGGAGAGGGATCAGTGCGAACCCTTCGGGAAGGAGCTGGGGAAGGACGTGCTGAAAATAATCGACGGCGGCGCAGGTCGACAGGAAGACAATTGTTCTCTGGGGCCTGATGGGTAGGCGCTCCAGGATCTGGGCGAGAGCGGGGAGCTTCTGACTCGCAGGCTTTACCAAATAGGCCATTTGTAGACTGGCTGGCGTTTTTCTATCCTCCAGAACTCCGCCGTCCTTCATCTTGACTCTGACTTCGATCTTGACTGGGTTGCGCAAGCCAACTCGGATAATCTCGCCAACAGCTTCGCTCACACTTGCGCTGAATAGGCCGGTGCGTCGCTGTTTGGGAAGGTGGGAGATGATCTTTTGCAGGTCCTGCTTGAAACCCAGATCAAGCAATCGGTCCGCCTCGTCCAGAACCAGCATCTGGAAGCTGGACTGTGGGCAATGAACGTAGGGCGATGACAGCAATTCCACCAATCTTCCCGGGGAGGAGATGAGAATATTAGGGCTGTGTCGCAGAAAGAAGCTGAGATCCTGCGCCACGGTTGTGATGCCACCGACGAGGAGCTGGGGCACAATGACAGGGACCGATGTCGTAGGTCGCTTGTCTTCCTCCTCCTTGAGATATGGCAGCAATTCGGCAGAAGGGGGATGGTATTCGAGCAACGACAGGAGGACAGAGTGGATTTGAGCGGCGAGCTCTCGAGTTGGGGACACAATGATGGCGGCGACATGGTGCCGTGTCGTTGGTTCCTCCAGGCGCAGGATTCTTTGTACAGCAGGAATAAGAAACGACAAGGTCTTTCCACTTCCAGTGACGGCCTGCATTGCAATTAGTTACGTGAAGTCTGAATAAATAATGGCGCGTGCTAGTCAAACCTCTACAACGACATCTTTGTTGCCCATGAAGTGAGGAACGGTTGCCGCTTGGACGGGTGTCATCTGCTTGAAGCCCATCGTCGACACAGCATCGAGAATCCATTCGGCCAGGGGAGGAGTGAGCGCATCCCAAGCCCTTGGACTGCGCCCGCCAGGGGCACTTTTACTGGGAGCCATTACAATAAAGAAGTGCAGAAGCAAAGCTTAGCACCGTTCGAGTACTTCTATCGAGGGGCTGTCAAGTCGCATGTCGCATCCACCCAACTTTTTTTTTCGCTTCAAAGCTCTGTTATCTTATCAGAGTCATTATCGATAAGAAAAGCAAGTGGGGCGAGAGCACACGAGTCAGTTTCTAGTCTAAGCTCTCTAGGGTAGTATTACGTCGTGGGCGGCCAAGGCACACGAGCAAGAAACATGTCTGAGATGTGCTGTAACTTAAAATCAGGACAGATCTGCCGTTGAAGCTCACGGAAACCTCGGACAGGGTTGATGATAATTTGACTGTCCGAACGGGTTTTCACATGCTTCCGGGTTTATTTTCGTGAAAATGGAGCGAAATCCTGCTCAATGCCGCGATTCGGGCTGTCACATGCTCCGACGCCCCAAAAGCCGTGAGTTAGTATGTAGTCTAAGACACTGAGCGGTTACCTAAGGGTCGCACATTAGGCTGGTGGACTCCATAATCCATGGTGAAAATCTGGCTTGCCCAACGAGGCGGATCCCGTCATCCCGGACATCATCCACCACCCGAAAACAGGTCACTTGCCCACGTATCCCAAATTTGTCCCTAACCCCCGTCGCTACCCTAATTTCCAAAGCCCTGTTCTCAAAGGCGTAGCTGGCGACAGAGTACGTATGCCGGTGTCCTCTGTTTCAAGCCCTCGTTGTCAAGATACTCTCCGAGCGACATGCAGTGGGGGAAATCACCTCCGCTGCATCACCACCAAGTATCAACCTGGCGCCGATAGAACCTCGAGACCCTGCATCACACCCTTCACCGACGTCGCATCATAGTTGGATCCTTTTTTCACTCTTCGGAACCACCAACACATCATCGGCGCGTGCTTCGCGCCGTGATAATTATCTGCTGGAAACGCAGCAGCAGTGCCACCAGTATTTCGGCTCTTGGCCTTCAGCCTTCGAGTCGCTGCAACGCATTTTTATCGGCGCTATCCACTGCCCGTCCCTGCCGCCCTTCTCGTTCGCCATGCCCAAGTCTGCCGTGCCAGCCAGTCCGCGGGTCATCTCGCCCAGTCCAACCCCAGATGACCGAGATCAAGACTCATCTTCTCGTCGTGGCCCGGTGACACGTTCAGCGACTAGGAACCGCTCGTCGCGGAAAGAGCCCGAAGACGATATTGAAGAAGATGTTGAGAAACCAGGCCTCCGGCAGTCCCGGACACGCAGCCGCTCGCCGATCGATAACGCTACCGTTCAACGATTGACAACAAGAAGATTGAGTAGGACAGCAGCATCAAAGGATGTGGGCGACCTCACACTCGCCAACGGGAAGACCTCTAAAACCAACGGCCACCTGGCTCCTCCCGAGCCAATAGTCCCGGTTGGTTGGAATTGGCGTGATTTCAGTCGAAGCCCGAGCCCTCTCGGTCTCATCCCGATCCACAGACATTGGCGGACATTTATCCACAAGCACGAGGTCCCGCGAAAGGCCCTCCATGTTTCGATCGGTTTCTTCGTCCTATGGCTCTATGTTGGCGGCACACAGACCAGCGCAGTGCCGCCATATCTCATGTCGGCACTGCTTCCCATTGCGGCGACTGACTGGCTGCGACACCGATATGCCTCCTTCAACAGGCTCTATGTCCGACTGCTCGGTGCGCTGATGCGCGAGAGCGAGTACGCTGGCTGGAACGGCGTCATCTTTTACCTTGTCGGCGCGTGGTTCGTGCTGTTCTTCTTCCCCAAGGACGTTGGCGTCATGGCCGTCCTGCTCCTCAGCTGGTGCGACACCGCCGCCAGCACCTTTGGCCGCCTTTGGGGCCGATACACCCCCCGACTTCGCCGCGGCAAGTCATTGGCCGGCTCCCTCGCTGCCGCCATAACTGGTGTGGCCACCTCGTACATGTTCTACGGATGGCTCACCAAGACCATTGGCCCAATGCCCGGGGACGAGACCTTCATGTTCCAGGATTCCTTGTCCCTGCCAGCTGTTGCTGCCAACGCCCTAGGGATCACCAAAAGCCAGGCTACCATTACCGGGCCCCTCGCCCTGGGCGTGATGAGCATCTGGGCTGGATTCATTGCCTCGGCCAGTGAGGTGGTCGACATCTTCGGATGGGACGACAACCTGACGATCCCAGTACTGAGTGGAATTGGCATGTGGGGTTTCCTCAAGATCTTCACTTAGAGCCAATGCATCCGGTACCTCCAGGGTTGCGCAACATACTGTGCACACTTGTATAACATGCGGATGCCATGCATATCTCTGTGGAACTCTCCCCACAACCACTTACCCTGGTTTACTGCTATTTTGGCAACCATGTGGGAACTGCCACACGGGCTTATGGATATCAAACGACTTTTGGACGCACTTTGAAGATGATGATTTTGGGCCTGGCTGCGGTTGTAATCGATAAACCTACCAGAGGTTTCTTATTAGGAAGCTCCCCTGTAGTATGCTTTCCTTACCCTCCTCTCTCTCTTTACTCATGCACGCTTTATGTCCCGGCATGATTCGACAGGCAGCTCTATACTCTGCCGATAGACCTTTTCTTCTCTCGGTTTGCTTTTACAACAGAATACAAGGTATGGATTGGAGGTCGGATATTACAAGATTCAGAAAAAAAGGAAGATAGATAGGGACCATACTCGATTCTTGCAAGGCGCCTGTTTCCCCCCCCTTGGTGGTACCGGCAAGAAGGGCCATAGCATAGCATAATTAGAACATAAAAAAGGGATCTTTCAGCAACTGGGAAACAAACAAACAAACAAACCTACCGCTTGCACATGTGCCCGCCCGCGTTTAAACGAACGGGACCCTGCGTAGCTGAGTGAAACCCGGGCCCGCATGTACGTTGCAAAGAAGAAGTTTCCAGGGATGGCTTCGCATACCCCCTCCCTCTGGAGTCTGGAGCTCCGGGTTGAGCTTTGGGGATGGTTCTTCCGGGGGCAGCCTGTAGGAAGGAATGCCGTGCAGGTACTACGGTACGTCGTATGCCTGGGCTCTGGCTCCCTCAAACGTTGGAGTAGCCCGGGCTGGACGTTACGGAGAACGGGGTCAGGGCCTACCCTGTCACGCGGAGAACATGTCCGTCACCGCAAGGGTTTGGGTCGGTGAGATGGGAGGGGCGGGCCAGCAGGGCAGCACAGCACAGCGGAAGGTTGCGGCTATTGCGCGCGAGAGGTGCCTTCCAAGTGGGTGACACTGAAATTGAGACACTGAAGCATTAAGCTGCGTATTTTCAAGTCTATGGCTAGTATGATCAGATCATTGAGTGCTAATAATACGTAATTCAGAGATAAGACAGTATATATTATCACTTTTTATCGTTTTATATTGCTAAAATTCTCTATTTATTGTAGAGAGTAGTCTGTTTGTAGCCAACTCTTCCATTGGGTGTCTCATTTCTCCTGTCACTCACTTGCCTAGGTACGTATGCGGGACATGTATGTAAGTAAGACAAACATGTAATCTGCCAAGTCACCGCTGGAGAGGGGGCAAGCGCTGCAGCAGGAAATGTGGAAATGCCGACGAGGCAGGCGTTGTGCAGGCCGTTATCACTGCTCGGTCTCGAAAGCAGCTTCCCGATCCCGGGCTGGATGGAGGTGAGCAGAGGCGATGGGGTTGCGTCAAAGGATCTGCCAGCTGTGCAGACGGTGCAGAACGGTTCATATCTGGCAGGAAGAATCAGTCGAGATAGGTTCGTGCCAGCAAAACTACCTTGCCCCGGCTTGACGCACGTACGATTATACATGGTGCTCAACCGTAAATGATTGCACAAGCGGGGACGGGATGTGTGTCCAAATGGAAGAGCCAGCAAAGCGGTTGTTTGCCAACACGCACGACAGCACCACACACACACACCTTCTCTCGTCCACACCAACCAACGTGTTGGTGCACACACGCGGGCGCGGGGAACACGGAGAGGGGCCACTTGCCAAGTGGATGGATGGCCGAAGGGTCTTGACATGGATGACACCCAGGCCGTGAACTGTTCCTGTCCCCAATTCAACCATAAAATTCCACTGCAACTGTAAATAAAACACACGATAGAATTGTTGGGGCATCAGACCGTATTGGGGTAAGATTTGGGGTCACAATGTACCTGTAGAGTGTCGTGTTTTTGAGCTGGAAAGGTGGGAGGTTACAGTACCATTTCGTAGTACAATGTCTCCTCTCCAGTCACCGCTGAACTAACCAACCTGTTGCTCGGTACGCTTTCTCCTGCTAGTTCTCGGCGGTGACACACAGGTAGCCACGCGCTGGACTGTTCTCGAATGCGTCTCTCCTGAAGGAGGGGGGCCATGGAATCTTCTGTCCAGTCCACCACGACTCGCCCAGCCTATGAGACGGTGCCCCATCATCAGTGCTTCGTGCACCGCGAACATCATCTTTGGTTCCGCCAGGGCCCTTGCAAGAAGCAACGTTGACAGCAAACTAAAAAAAACTTAATCAATAGGACCAAAAAAATCTTGACCGGGGGGGGTGGTGCGTTCGCCAGTGAGTTGTCCCTGCTTTTTGGAGGAGGCGTGTGCTATGAAGTGGACAAACGTCCTCTTCTAACATTGTTCGCCTCCTCACGGGCAGAGGTGGTGGTGATGATGTATTCCATTCTCCGTCTCCCAGTTTGCCAGTGCCACGACTCGCCTTTTGCCCTCGTTGCATTCTAGGCCCCCCTCCTCTGTCTGCTGGGCAGCGGAGTCCGGATGGGAAGGGTATGGGGATTGGCCCAATCCGAGGCCCGTCAGATCTCAGGTTCGTTCTCCCGATCTACAACACATTGGGGGAGTCGAATGAGATGGAGAGACGTGTCAAGTACCTCTGTAACGCATAATGGCGTTCGCGCATTCGAATCTTGATCCCTCTGCCCTTGCTGATTCGCTCCCCCGTGTGGGCAGGGATTCCTCGCAGGACACGCATGCGCTGCAACCGGTACACAGGAATCCGTGTCGTGCGCGGCTCACTCAAACGGCTGCCAAGAAAACGCCAGCGTATCGTATCTGTGAGATGGATGTACGTGTATGTAGGTCTGTATGTATGTGCGTACGTCTGTGTGTCTGTATGTATGTACATACGTACATGCGGTACGTGATGCTAGCATGCTGCAGAGCCATTGACAGGGGCAAGATTTTTCTTCGTGTCAATCTAGAGCCGTCCAATAGGGAACACTGTTAGTTTCTTTTTCCCTTCCATCTCAACGGTGCAGAGGCGAGGCGGAAAAAGCAAGACGGTCGCAATGGCTGTGTCAACGGTCTTCCTTCCCCCCGTCCCTCCGCTTTCCACATTCTTTGCATGACTAGTCCATCATGTGGCACCCATTGAAGAAAAGGGGCGAGGAAAAAGAAAAAACAATCAATCAATTTAATTAATCCAGCTCTCATTCTCTGCCTGCCCCACGGCCAGCGGTGAGGATGAGCTGTTGCGGGCCATGATCGCCTCGCCTATCTGGCAAATTCCTGCCCTTGGAGCGTGTTCGTCCGTACTTCCTTCCGCATCCACCGTCTACCCTCTTTCCTGCTTTGCGAATTTCCACATCCGCACGTACCCGGGCGGACGAGGTTGATGCTTGTGCATTCGCGCTAGGAGAGGGCGCCAAGTTGAGCAAGGAGAATTCTTGCACTTGTCCAACCATGCAGCTGACTTGTATATCATTCAAACTGTTGAGTGGCAGGCAGCAGAAGCGTCAGCGATGATCTCGCTACAACCTCGGGGCCGTAATAGCGGGCAAGCACATCCTCGGGTTACATACAGCTTGCTCTGTTATCCTGCGACAAACATCCCGACCAAGAGCCGGCATTATGTCATTCACGGAGGTCCGGCGCGCAGAGAAACTTTTTTTTTAATTCACGCTCATTGTCGTCCTCAATGGGAAACCCTGCTCGACCGGACCGGGCTAAGGCCCCTCGATCAACTCCGCTGCAACCTTGATACGTCGATGCCACGCCTATGCCACATCCTGCGAGGACTGGGATTCGACTTGCTGGAGCTAAGGCACAATGGTGGCATTGCTGGGATGCCTGGGTGTGGATGGTTGGGCATGCAAGAGTGATCCGCTCCCCCTCTCCAAGATGATGGCTCACAAGATGGGGCCGACACTAAACCGGACATGCTGTGAGACATTACAACGCTTGCCTGCATGGCCAGTAATCAGAGATGGTCGGTCAATCGAATGATGGAGGGCGACACGGGAATATCGGTGAAGCTGGACGCCTATGTTCTTCGTCGGCTATGGAAGGGGCGAGGAAGGGCGCAGAGCTCTCCCCAGGATTTCGCTGCATAGGCAGGCTAGCATGGTGCAGGGAAGAGGAAGCTGACTGAGGCTGAGAAATACGGGGACCCAGTGTCGCTGGTATGCTCTGTAGTTCCCAGGATGGCACAGGATACCAGCAGCGCGTGTTATTGCATTGCTGCAATAGCGGAGGTAATAACAGCAACGAGATGCGATGCTATCACTAGAGCCAAGCTCAAGGCCAGCCCAGTGTGGTGAAGTGGGGGAGGGGCAAATCGTCAGCGATCATCCACTAATCAGCCCCATGCCAGATTGGTGAGATGGGTACTGACAGCTGTTAGATAGCATGCACCTGCTCTGACTGCCGGATATGAATGGAGAGGAGGTATCTTGCTATCGTAACCGAGCGAGCTGGACCCTTCGCGAGATCCATCCATTGAGATCCACGAGCATTGTCACCCCCCAGCACATTATTGGTATTTTAAGCCAATCGCCAGCCCAAGAAATCCCAAGTGACTGGCCCTCGGCCAATGGCAAGCTCACAAGTTGGTCGAAAAAAAGGCCAGTCAAGCCGTCTCCAGTTCAATGGGAAGGATATCCCCGGAGCAAGACTGCAGTCTTGTTCCATTGCTTTTTCCCTCCCAAGCCCTCATCCATGTACCTAGGTAATCAATAATTGTATCACCTGCCGGGTCGTGCTCTTCCCCCGTCTGGTGCTTCGGCTCTCCCAAACAAAAAAAAATTATTCCATTCTCCCCCACTGGGCTGGACTCAGGTAGTATTAGTAGACTCATAGTACACACTAATTACCATCTGCCTGTGACAACGCATCAACACGCCTCGTTTTGCCCCATGCATCCCTGCCTGACCTGCAGGTTCCTCCCGCCGTGACTTTCGCCATAGAAGTCAGCACACACGCACGGAGGTCTCAGAGCCACGCAGTTGGCCGAGGTGGCATATGATGTACTCGGGATACTCCCAACGAACCTGCCTTATCTGGATCGCACCCAGCCTTTTGGATGGCCAAGTGAAATGGATGGGCGTCTTTTTCTAGAAGTGGGACCCTATGCAATAATCCAATGCCACTTTTAGGGCCTTGCGTCAGAGCTTCCTGTGTCCCTTGTCGATGGTAGGACGGCGGCCGGCCAGGGAGGGCGAAGACGTGTTCTTCGTTGTCATCTGGTTGTTTGATTTACCCATGGTGTGTCTTCATCCAGAAACGCCCGGCGGTACCTGGCTGGGTACTTGCTTGACGCCGTTTTATTCTTTCCCTGCCTTGCCTGGCCTCACGGTAGAGTTAGGCGTCATAACTTGGCTTTCAGTGTTAGCACTCGGCGACTCAAGCAGCAAGCAACAGGCTGGTGCACAAAATTTTCTGCCTCAGATTATCGGGCTTGGAAACAGGCATTGCATAGACCCGGCTATTAATTCACTGCATATGAGATGCATTGTCCTCATCCATTCCCGGGACCGCTGCTGAGGAGAGTCCACCTCGCCCCGGGTACTTGCCTTAATAATCCAATCTACGGGCGGCAGGAGCAGCAGCAACAAGCAGGAGCGCAGGTGCTCCATTTCCCCACCTCGCAAGGTCTTCCACTATGTACCACCAACGTAGCGGCTCTCCATTCCATCTCGCCCATCTGCCTGGCCATTTGACCAAATGCTGGAGACATTGTTAGCACCCTTTCCCTCCATTGGCTCGCCGCTGGTCCCAATGTTGGTTTAGCAGCCACCCTCTTCATGTCAATTGTCTCTTCGTTCCAGCAGTATGCCTGCTGCCATGTCACCGGTTGATTTAGCAACCCCCTCAAGGTTTCTTTTCCTTCGTCGGGATGTCTCGAGTCGCCGGCAATGCACCTGCTATGTACCTCCCATGTCGATTTGCGTTACAAACCCCTACCCTTGTACCCGGTTCCGATCTTCATCTTCATCCAACAGAGGTCCCCGTCCACTAACTGCAGTTCCCACCAATTCCAGACCCAAGATCTAGGTTTTTCTTTATTTGCTTGGGCGGCATTCACGCGGATCTCCCCCATCTGTCTATGCTCTGAGGGGGGGGCGCTTATTTGGTTACGTTTTAGCATGCAAACAAATGTCTTTTTTTTTCTTTGCTCTTTCTGGTTATTTGATCCATGGATATACGCACGCCCTTCCTCCTGCCCACCTTTCTCCCTCCGTCTCCAGTCTGGAGCCCCGGCGGATCTCCAAGTTCCCTGGTTCGAGTTGCGTTAGTTATCTACACATGTTTTCCTACCACCTTACCAGAGATAGTTGCTAGCTAGCTTGTGTATGATTCAATGTTCGTCCACCCCCCCTCCCTCATTGAGAACTTGATGAGAGCTAGGATGCACCTGGACTCCATCGGGCGGACGACCAAGCCCATTCTATGGATACACCTACACCTACATGGACTTCAACACTTTGGGGGGAGTGTCTTTTGACAACCTCTCTCCTAGCCATCGTCGGTTCGCTTCCACTTCAATGGACTCGAGCGGGGTCTCGGATCCATCATCGTTGACGAATAGAGTCAAGATGATCTTTCTCACAAGTCTGGGGAATGCCATTGAGCCATCTCTGAGCATTGAGAAAACTATAAAAGGGGCCAAGATGGACAAGGTTGACCCAGGTTTCTCCTTCTTCCTTTTTATATTTTCTTTACTCAGACTTGCTTCCCAGATCCTACTTCCAACTAGTCTATCACCACCTACCTGCCTACCTCTCTTCACCTTCTTGAACTTTGAAGAATTCTTGACAAGATCTTGGCAACCCCAACTTGTCTCATCAATCCACGGCACCTGAACCTACTAAGGTCTTCCTGTCTCACTTCATCTTGCCCTGTGTTTAGAACGCACCGGGTCAACCTGCCAGGCAGTCTTCAACTAGGCAGCCAAAGAATCAACCCCTACCCAAGGCAATTGGTTCTCCAGATCTCTCCCTGGTCGTTCCCACAAGTGATAAGCAACCGCTTAAGGACCATACACTCTTACACAACACAACACAACATAATGTCGGGCCCCTACCACCACACCGCCTATTCCATGCCAGTGGGCAACCAGTACCCTACCTACAGCCAATACTCAGCCTCGCCCATGGACTGCGACGAAACCATGAGCCATGCATCCGGTGTTCCCTCGGGATACTCCGGTACCTCCGTTGGCTACATGGGTAGCTCCACCGGCGACTACGACAGCACCCGCTCGGCCAGTGGAGTCGATTTCCAGGAGTACATGCAGGAGCGCTTCTCGCACTCCTTCAACCCCATCCCCCTGGACCGCAGCATGGCTGTTCAGGCGCAGACGTAAGTTTCACCTCATCTCGTTTCTTTTTCCTCAATGCCTTTATTATTCCACCCTCGAGCCAGCTTCTCCACTGTGAGGAAATCTCGGCAAGCGGGAATTATGTATAAGCCACGGCACTATAAAAAGGAAAGCACAGCGCTTCCATGAGAATGGGCCGCCTTATTATCACCACCTGCTTCATTTCCACTTAATCAAAATAACAAAAGAGAAATAATCATGAAGCTAACATCGAGTGCGTCATTTGCTGAAACCAGATCCGGAAAGCTGAACGCCAAGCACCGGGAGCTCGTGGATCTCCAGAAGCAGGCCCAGGCCCGTCTCGCGAAAACCCGCGAGCGCTTCCAAGAGGGCATGCGCGATGCTCGTGAAGTCCGCGGCGACCTTGAGTGGACACAGAAGAAAGTCTCGTAAGTCTCTCCCTTGTCGCCTTTGTTGCACAGCCCCAACTCTGTCCTTTTCTCTCTTTTTTTACAGAGAGGAAAGAAAGATGCAATGAGTAATTCTGCTTTCTCTCCCTTGACCGCTCGAGTGGAGATGCGAAAAAAGCAGATTCGGGATCCATCCACCATAATAATAAGCCGTGAGACTGACAGACAACCCCACAGATCGCTCCAGACCAAGGCCTCGCGAAAGCACCCCAAGGAGTACGCCAAGGCCCGCGCCAGATATCCTTCTCCTGAGTGTTAAAATCTCTAAAAAATGAGTGTGCGAAAAATCAACGGCCAATTTGCACATATTACTGCTTCTCTTCTCTTTGGTCTTTTTCTTATATCCGGCCGTTGAAGCACAAATATGGGGGCCACCACAGCCCCCTAAAAATGCATGCTTGGCATGTCTCTCAATTTTCAATATCAATGCAGGAACCGGCAAACCTACCGTTCCTGGATTGAACACGGACTTTTTTCTATCTCCTTTGTTGAGGCGATTGGCTTTTGTTGCCGTGGTGGCTTGTTGTGCCTTCTGGGTAGCAGCTACACACCACCACCACTACGGCACGATCCGACGGGGGAAGCTTATTCCCACGTGGAGAGCCCCAACGCCATCGCGGGAATCTTGCAGGCACTGGCAGCATCACCTGCCTGCCTCGATCTCTCGCTGCTTTTAATGACAAGCGTTCAGCCTAGCTCTCCCATCTCCCACACCGATACATTCGGTGCGGGAGGGCGTGTGAGAAAGGCGCTACAGCTGAATTGCGACACACTGTGTATGGCTAATGATTGGGTATGATTGGATGATATTTTTGGTATTTTAAGCGTACACCACCTCCCTGACCTCCAGACCATCTGTCGAGCGTTTATAGGTGGCACGGGGAATTTTGGGTATGATCTCTGAGCGGCAGGGGCGTAATGGTTTGGGTATATCACAGATTGATCATCACCTCCTACTTTAGGGAGGGGGGTGTCCTACCTCCCCGGCAAGGCGGACCAATGAGTAGGAACAATGGCAAACGGGACAAAAACCACTAGGGTTCGGAGGTTTTCTTGGTCTGAGATCAGCTCGGAGCGCTTTTCCCTTTCGGAAGATGTTCTGCTTTATTGGGAAACGGGGGCGTATGAAATGGTAGCAAACAGGTTCCAGTTCTCCTTCTTCCTCCATCTCCTTAGTAAACATCTCGCACTAGGATAATTCAGGCTGAAGTCTCGGCTTCTAATTCGTGAAGCTATCAATAGACGGCTCTCTTTTCGTGGATACACCCCCACGCCGTGGATAGAGAGCTGCTGAGCTGCCCGCTCTTGTGCCTCGTGGTCTGATGCCAGTGACGTGTGCTCGCCCCCAGCCTAGCCCTCCGTAGCAGGTCAGGAGGGTCCGAGCTAGTCTCAGCAGTTCCCCAATCGTGTACCTTGGATGGTACCCAGGCCATGTGGTAGCAGCTCATAAAGTCTGAGGTTGGTGTTGGTCACGTGACGTGACATTGATAGATATACCAAAGCCATCACGGAACAGGCCATAATTGACACAAGACGGAGGGCAAGATATTGTGAACTGGGTCATATGGTTGCCCATATTGTCCTCTGGAAGTGGATAATGTAGCATCTCGGCATGTTTCACCGGCTGTTCATTTCCAAACGCCGCCGATGGGTTGCAAATCCATGGCCTTTTCCAGCTTCTCCCATGGGTTTTCATTGGAGATGCTGTCGTAGTATCCATCGTACCACGGCTTGCCTCCGTGGCTGTCATGACCTGCGCCGCGGTTGTGATGTGTCCGCGATCCGTGACCCGAGCGAGCCCCGTTGGAAGGACCACCATCCTCGCCCACACCTACGGCTGGGCGCCGGGGTAAGCTGTTCATGCCTGGTTTGGGAATGCTTCCTCCGCCAGGCACAGTCTCTTTCACAGCCGGTGAGCTGTCCTCGTCATCCTCGAGATCAATCTCATCCGCGTTGGTGGATGGCTTGGTCACGGGCGGCGGGCCCAGGGGGATTGAGTTGGAGCTCGTGGTGGCCTGGGGAGGTTGACGCTCGACGAAGGAGTCGGCGTTTGGGTTGTACTTGCGCTTCTTCTGCGGGCGGTCCTGGGAGCCGAAGGCGGCGAACCCCATCATTTGGGCCATGTCAAGGCCTTCATCCTGCTCCATTTTTTTTCACTGGGGGATTGAATGAGTCGCTATGAAATCTGTGGTAGGGTGTGACGATAATACCCGTGAATCGGTTTCTGCCTGGGGCCGGAAGTATTAAAATGGGACGTTCTGGCAACAGCGGTTCCGATGGTTGAGGAATTACTTTGGATGAGATGTGGTGGACTGAAGATGGTGGGTTGGGCCGTGGCGACCTGGGCGCTGCGTGAGGCTGACTAATCCCGTGATATCAACCTGCGTCACGCTTTTTACCGGACCTTGATATAGAGAACTCAAGAGTCGAAGTCGAAGAGTTTGCTTGTAAACTGTTGATACACTGTCAGTACAGCCCTCCAGGTGCGTTTAGTTGGCATGAGTATTCAGGAGGTCCGTCGGATTTTTTCTTTCTCTGTGAGAACTTTGCCTTAACTAGGTATGTTATGATGGTGTGGGCTCTACGTCCCTTATTTAAACAAGGAGTCAAGTTAGGTAGGCAATGTTTATATTGTATCACTCTGTGGCCAGTTACTATTCTTTGGTGGGTGGTTCGGTTGGCTCTAGCAGAGTGTTTACTGAACCGGATACTGAAGTTTCATCATTCCAACATTGACATTCGTCTCATGGCGGCCACTAGTGTAATCATCCTTAAAAATCAAAAGCCCTTAAAGAATTTCAGACCTTCAAGCATTGCAAAAGGTCAAACAGTTTCGCGCGTGATAGAAAATCTGGAAACTTGGTAATACGAATACAAGGTAGCGAAGAACGATTCAACGGATTGATGGGCGTTCTCGGGAGAAACGCCTTAGCCTCCTCGCCGCTTTATCTCCACTTACACCAGAAATGAGCAGCTCTAGGTACAACCTCTGAGTCTCACAAAAGCGGCATGGCTATGACGCGCTTCCTCATTCTCCCTCCAGGTCCAGCATCGCATCGCGCTGCTTGCCCAAGCGTGTGTCGATCGTTTCGACCACGACACCAGCTCCTCCCAACACAGTTCTCATTTCAGACGAATAAACAGAGAGGGCTTAGAAGATGGCGGAAATTGAGCCAATCACCCTCCGCCTGCCCTCAAAATACGCCAATGGAAAAGTGCAAGACAGCGAGGCTCACCCACCGCCTCCCGTGGATTGGTTAGAAACATCATGGAGCGTCACGCATTCAACGCTTTCAATGTGGCGGTCGGCGCGTAACGTGCGCATCAGCTACGCGAAGATGGCCCCCGCAGGTGATGGAACCACCCGCATCGACGACTTGGTCGAATACGAGCCGCTGGACAAGACGGGCGTGCTCAAAAACGTCACGGGCGTGGATACGCAGGATCCAGCGTCTGGGTGGAACTGGCGAGGCAAAGGGTGGCTGTTTTTCGTCACGTCCCACTGGGAGGTTATAGGCTGGGGCGAGGCAAAAACCCCAGATGGGACCGTGGAGAAGTGGGCGGTGACGTGGTTTGCCCCAACTGTCTTTACGAAAGAGGGTTTGGATATTTACTGCGATCAAAGGCAAGGCATCAGCGAATCTACCCTTGGTAAGATCATGGAGGGCTTGAAAGGGCTCGAGGCGAGCGCGTTGGTCAGCATGGTTGAAAAGGATATGCGCCCAGTTGAGATCAAACTTCCTTGGGTTGAAAGCTCGAAGAAGTAGCATTTCTGTGCCAGAGGCCTCGGCCGGTGGATTCAATTTCAATATTATCATTTGCTAATATAATAATTCTTCTAAAACAATGGATATCATGCTGGTTCCTTCACATACCGATGACGACTCCGACCATGTTCTGGTGAATGCGATCTGTGTCGCCTCCTCCGCATCTCTGGGCTTCTATCTCGGCGACTCTCTCTTCTTCGGTCGCCATGTCTTTCCCCATCTTGTCTTCTCTCAGATGATCGATCCCTGTGCCTTCGGTGATCTCTAGACGATTGAGGTTTTGGCGACCGGTCATCTCTCCTCTCCCTCCTCTCTTTATACCGTTGTTCTCTGCGCAGTTGCCTCAGTTCCTCCTCCCTCTCAGCCTGGAGTTTCTTCCTTTCGGCCTTCAGTTCCCTGACTTTGGATGCGCCACTTCTCATCGCTGCTAAGGGGTCGTTGGCTACTAGGCGCCGGTCGTTTCTGTCCTTCCGCTTCGGGTCATCATTCCCCCAAACGTCCTTTGTCGGCTGTGAAGGTGCTGACATGTCGGATTTAGAGTACCAAGGACTCTGTGCCAATCCCTCCCTCCCAGCGGCATTCGAAAAGCGCATGGTATATTGATCCTCAAACTCCCGCTTCTTTTTCTTGGCCTCCTTTTCCGCTTCCTCGTTCTTCTCACCGTGGGCTCTGGCGCGTTCATCGCCAAAGAGATCAATGTGCCCAGAGCGATCCATGATAGGAGCTGAGCTGGATGGCTTCTTGCTAACCTCAAGATTGCCATACTGAGCTTCATTCCTCTCATGCGCAAGACGGAGTTCAAATTCGGTGTCATCCTCGCCGGCGCGCTTTCTCTTCTTCTTAGGCCTATCTGCAAAAGATGAGGGATCCCGGCTGTGGCTCAAATCAACCTCCTTTGGCTGCTCATCCTCAAGAGGAGGCGGCTCCTCGCCGCGCAGAATCGCTAGGCGTCTCGCGGCATCAACCTCCTGCATGCGCTGCTCCTCAGCCTCCTCAGCGGCCTCTGCGGCAGCCTCATCGCGACGAACACGGGCGATGTTCTTTTCATTGTAGACGTTCCAGGACTTCTTCCCCAGAAGATGGCTAAATTAAAAGTAAGCGTCGGTTCTATACATTCGATTGAAAGGCGTCCTCTGTGGATGACTTACAGTGGCATCTTGTTGAGCTGCCCGCAAGGCCGGGAAAAGCTCACCTCCGTAGGGATGTTCAAGCGATGTGCCGAGATGAGACTTGAACGTTTGCAGCCATACACCCTGTGGCTGACGTCAGCGGGGAGAGCTCCGACTAGACAGTTCCAGCATCTAAGTCGCAAACACAGCAGCTCGTTCCCATCAAAAGACAGATATCGCCAAGATATGTCGAAATCTAGAAGCCTGGGCTAGGCAACGGCTTAATATTCATTTGCCACATGCCATGGGAAGATGTAACATCCGGGGTTTGGTCCCTGCCTAAGGAGTGGGGCCCTATGCATCAAGTGTGGCTGAAGCATACTTCCAGCTCAGTCCAGCGGTGGGTAGCGTGGGGCTTCGATGTGACCTGGAGGTGTCGACCTCCGTCATCTTGAACTTGAACACCTACATCAAACGAATAGGCTATCCTGCCATTTAACAACTGCGCCTTTCCCTATCATACCGCCGCCCAAGCGACTTCTTTCCCTACTTCACCTAATTCCCCATCTCTCAACGGTGGGCTCGACTCTTCCTACCGTACGTCACAATGTCAAGACAGCCCCCATCAGGCGGCTCGGGCTGGAGTCCATTTGGCGGTGGACGCAGCGCACCCCAAGGATACGGTAGCGCTCCCCAGGGATACGGCAATTCGCCCCAAGGATACGGTAACGCTCCCCAGGGATATGGCAATCCTCCCCAAGGACATAGTAATCCTCCTATGAGGCCCAGCCAGCCTAGCCAAGGCGCTCCCAGATACAACGAGAAGGCCCCTACCGGTGGCGGCAGACAGGTCCCTCTCCGAATCGAGAAGATCAGCAATGACAAGACTCTCCAATCCCGTATCATCTACGGTAATCTGTAAGCTTTATACGCATCCCATTTAGTCAGTCTACGATGGTCTTGTCCTAACACTTGCGATTCCTTAGCTGTGCCGTATCTCCCCAAGACTTTCCTCGAAACCGCGATGGCACGAACCCATATGTCCTTATCCGAGGCGGAAAACCCGAAGGCGAATATGTGGTCACGGCGGAACCCGTACAGGGCTTTCCTCAGGGCTGCATAAGTCTGTCCGATCCCCAGCGTTCGTGGGCGGGTATTACATTGCGAGACACCTTCACCGGAGAAATCTACGACCCATTTTCGGCTGGCGCCAAGGTATATCTTGGAACGTTGGACTTGGAGATTGGCTTTGCTTCGCCGAACAAGGTTACCGATGCCCCATACGATGAGGAGGAGTTGAGCGATGTATTCATCAACACATACGGGAACCAAATACTGGCCCCTGGACAACGAATTCTCATGGATGTCCGAAATATCCCAATGCTGATAGTTGTCAAGACTATCGGGCTCATCGATCTTTCCATGTCTTCAGACGACCCCAACAAGAAAGTCCACAGAGAGCCGTATGCTCGAGGTATCTTGACAGAGCAGACCAGGATCAACTTCCACAGAGACGGAAAGGGCAGCTTCAACTTGAAACCCTCTATGAACAAGGCCAACTCCAACGCCATTCTTGCTCCAGATTTCAAGTTTGAGGACATGGGTATTGGTGGCTTGGGCAATGAATTCTCTACTATTTTCCGTCGTGCCTTTGCTTCCCGAGTCTTCCCCCCAGGACTCATTGCAAAGATGGGCATTCCCCACGTCAAGGGTATGCTCCTCTACGGACCTCCAGGTACCGGAAAAACCTTGATCGCCAGACAGATTGGCAAGGCCCTGAACGCTCGGCCACCCAAGGTTATCAACGGTCCTGAGGTTCTGAACAAGTATGTTGGTCAGTCTGAGGAGAACATCCGAAAGCTCTTTGCGGATGCAGAGAAGGAGTACAAGGAGAAGGGCGACGAGAGTAGTCTCCACATCATCATTTTCGATGAATTGGATGCTGTATGCAAACAGAGAGGTTCTGGTGCTGGTGGCGGCACGGGAGTTGGCGACAGCGTGGTCAACCAGCTGCTATCGAAGCTGGACGGTGTTGACCAATTGAACAACATCCTGCTCATCGGAATGACCAACCGAAAGGATATGATCGATGATGCCCTGCTGCGACCAGGTCGGTTGGAGGTCCATCTTGAAATCTCGCTCCCAGATGAGAATGGTAGGCAAGAAATCCTCACGATCCACACCTCCAAGATCGCCCAAAACGGGCTCTTGGATGGAGACGTGGATATCAAGGAGTTGGCCAGCTTGACCAAGAACTACTCGGGTGCAGAGCTGAACGGTCTGGTCAAGGCTGCAGCATCCTTTGCTTTCTCCCGCCATACTGAAGTCGGCCAACTGGCAGCGGTCAAGTCCGACGTTGCCAGTATGAAGGTAAACCGCAGCGACTTTATGAACGCCCTGACAGAGGTGCGCCCAGCGTATGGTGTCTCCGAGGCAGAACTCGAGGAGGCTGTGGGACTCAAGATTATCCCATACAACAACACTGTTGATTTGACCATCAACAGCATGATGCGTGTTGTGAGCATGATCCAGAACGACTCGGACAAGTACAGCACCTCAGTTTTGTTCCACGGACCCAGAGGTGCTGGAAAGACTGCACTTGCTGCCCATATCGCAATGCAGTCCGGCTTCCCATTCGTCAAGCTAATCAGGCCGTTGGATCTGGTGGGCTACCGGGACGATTTTGCGAAGAAGGACTATATCCACAAGATTTTCACCGATGCCTACAAATCTCCCCACAGTATTCTCATTCTCGACGATTTCGAACGTCTCATTGGGTGGAACCCAATCGGCCAGCGCTTCTCCAACGTCATGCTGGAAGCACTTACTACCCTCCTCGTCTCCAAGCCTCCCAAGGTAAGATAACATCAATCTCTCGATCAAAGTGTCCATTTGCTTACTTTCGAAATAGGGCCACCGTCTATTGATCTTCGTAACAACCTCTAAGAAGTCAACGCTAGACATGCTCGAGATCGACGGCGACTTTGCCAAGAAGGTTGCCGTACCTTCGTTGTCCGGGCTGGAGGAGATCAGAATCGTACTACAGGAATCCGGGCGCCTTGGCCAGGACGACGTGCAGACAGTGCTCCGCATCCTCCACGAGAACACCCAGGGCCGTGTGAACATTGCTGTCAAGAACGTGCTTGACTGCATTTTCGAAGCTCGGGCTGATGGCGATGGCCCCGGCTTCCCAGAAACACTGGCCGACTTGCTGCTTGAGAGGATTCAGATTGAATCTCCCCAGGTCGGCTACTAAGATGAGCGTTTGTAGATAGAGAACTCGTTTTACAGAAATGAGCATATACCATAGAATACAGTCACAAATTAGGATCGCCGCGCAATTTGATCATATCAATGTATCTTCTATTGAAATGCATGCGCAAAAATAAGGCCCCTGTCCGATTTACGAGTTGCGCACCAACATGAATACTAGGTAATACTAAGTAACTCCATCTTACAGTCACGAACATGCCGTACGCCAAATTAGGAAAATCAAAAGGAAGAAAGAAAAAGAAAGAAAGGGAAACCGAAAATAGTGAGGTATATCTTCTCACAACCTGAAAAAGAAAATCCTTTTGAGAAAACTGCAAACTACGACATGTGATGAGAGAACACTAAGCGAGGTGAGGAGAACAGGGCATACGGAAAAAGAACTAAACAATGGGGGGACCAGCTGAGAGCGGATAGCTGCAAATAGAAAGCAGCCCCAATACTGGATTGTTTACTCCGTACAAGAAAAAGTGTTGGTTCATTGGGGTTACATCGTGCAGATACAAGCAGCTATCAGTCACGATCTTCACTCTCCCCAAGCTGGAAATGGCCAGCCATCACGAAAGGTACATACGCTACTATGCGCATTGGAGGGCCAGGGGGACGTTGGGAGGGGCAACAAGAGTTTTTTTCGTCCCATAATGCGATGGTGGAATACGCACTATCCCGTCACGCGCTTTGATACCTGCATGCAGAGGTGCATATGGGGTTGCGCCAATCCAACCACCGACATGCAGCTTAGGAAGCGGGGGTTCCGTATGAGGAATGAGTGTGTGCGCTGGGGAAGCGGTGGCCAGCCCAAATGCATATGCATGTAGGCTTGATGGGATGATGGGATGATCTCGCCGTGAGATTGCTAAGCTCCGATGTGATATCCCAGTAAACGGGTGCATCACAGGAAAACTCCTGAAAACGCACCGGGGTTAGAGGGTCAGGGAGGGATTGTCGCCCTGACTCGTGTGAGGCCATCCGGGCGGCTATCTTGAGATATGCATATCGTGTACTAAGAAGTACATGGACGTGAAATGTAGTGCAGAAACTAAACTAGGTGAGAGCTGTATGCATAAGTACGTCGTAGATTCGGTAGGTTGTCGAGCCCAGGTTCCACCAAGGGCACAACTCGCTATCGTCGACGTCACGCTACTATATAGTAGTATTGTGATATTATTGCGGACTTCCCTGGTACTTGAGTACTTAGCTTGGAGATCATCACCGTTGCCATTACATCCCGATCAATCCACCACAGTGCCCGAAGCCAGGGCGGCCGCAGCGCTGTCTAGTATATCGGACCGGCGCCATCGTCCACGTTTTTGCCTACTGCACGGTGCAGGCATCTGCGCACCATCGACACATCCTTGGTGTGGCGGCGGCGGTTGGTAACGGTTGAGATTGGTGAGGCCCAGCGGCCAGTCGTCGTCGAAAGCTTGCATATTCGCATCATCCCACTGCACATGCCTTTCTGGGCATGGCACGCACCACACCCGTTCGCAGGCGGTAATTCCAACTCCGGGATACGCACAACATGACATGCGAAATGCGAGAGCCCAATCGAACCTAGGCCTAGCATTGATACCCAGTCGATTGCGTGGGGATGGGGAGGGGCAGGCGTCCAGAAACAAAGCCTCCCACCCTAGTCGATCCAGTTCTGAACCAGTTGGCTGCAGGTCAAGGTGGTCCGCGACCTGTTTCTGTTTCACCAAGAGCCAGATGCTAGGGGTTGGGAGAAAATTCTCACTGGCTTCAAGGAACCGGAGGCACGACTCCGTTGATGAAGGAG